ACACCAACAGTGCGAAGAAATGGTACAAGTCTGCATATTACTGAAGGAGTAAGATGAATACCACTAAATACTACCGGCTAGAATGTATTTTTTCTTCAGAAAATAAAATAAGAATCTATTAACTTAAATTTGTGTCTATTATCATTTTCTCGAATTTTCGTAAGAACCTGTTTAGGCAACCTTGGGAAAATGCAATTACTCTCGGGTTTTCACTGTTTCACTCGAATTGAAGGTAGCATAAGGAACCGATGAGTCATGAGACGAAGACTCCGTGAAAAATTACATGAGAGGATAATTAGGTGATAGCAACTAGTTCGTTGTGGGTTGAGCTTCATGTCGATCCCGTGACAGTCCATGACAATCGCTACCGCACGAGACTTTGTTCGAAAGCTGAGTGGGCCTGAGGTGGTCCGGGGGGGGCACTTGAGGAAAAGTTTGGGTAGAGATGTGATGGGCTGGATCTTCAAACACTAACCTGTTTAACACAAAAGTTATGCATTTCAGTACCCTGTTTAAAAACAAGAGATCTTATTCTATGGCCCTGATTCGTTTCGTTTTGCATACAGAATTGAGTAATTTTTCAAGTAACCGTCACGGAATTGGATTTCTTCGGTACTGAAATGTAAATACCGTTTATCGCCAACCCTTACACTCTTTAAAGAGGCTTCGATCAGTCCAAAAAGGCACCTTGTTCAAGACGCCAAATAGTGAAAACGTCAGTACACCCTGTTTGAGACTCAAGACCCTAAAAATCATACCCTGCTCTGCTGTGCACACCAGTAAAAGCCAAATAAGGAAGTGCCCACCCACTTCCCCCGTGAGCTTATTCTTGCAAAAGCCATACATAATTAATCGCCATTTATCCTTATCGCTAAAGGCAGGAACCTATTACCCTATTATCGCCAGGAGCGTATAGCTAGGCTCCTGTTATCGCCTATGAAAAGAGCTAGAGTTCATTTTTGGAATGTTCAAGCTTCAAGAATCTGACACTTCTTAACCTGAAGTACATTGAAGGAAAGAATTGGCGAAGCCAAGGAAAGTTTTCTCTCTCCCTCTATTCTTGCTACATCATTAGTACTTTCATGCTGACACCAAGTGCCGTCGACGTATCCACTACCGAGAAATAATGCACTATATCATTATATCAATTACGGGTCGGAATTTTGATGACTGACATGATTCTATATACAGACCCATTCTCGACCTCAATGCTTTCATCGCGCGCAGCAAGAGACAGAAGACATCTGGGATCGAGATTGCTGTAAAGATCGGAGGATAAGATAAGGGTCAAGAGAGAATAATGAGTCAAAGACAGAAACACCCAGTCTAACCCTTGGCTGATAAATGAGGAAGGCTAATTTTGTTAGCCGAAATGTTTGCCTCGAACAAATCAACCCTTCGCCGTATTGTCAGCCTTAAATCTTGTATTCAGTTTCAGTTTGAATTTCACTTAAGCTATTTTCAGACAAATTAGACGCTTAAAATCATCGGAAGTTGGTGTCTGAAGAGGTCCGCAAACCTCATTAATTCTTTGTTGTCAAGGGAACATAATGGGACATCTTGCCTTCTTGGTGTGACGTCACCATTATAAAGTGGCGAGCCATGAGAGGGCAAATAGACTTGAAATGTATGGCACTGAATGTTGTTTCGTTGTCGGATTGACAGAATTAAAAGATTTCGTCGCATCTTCCTCATTTGTAAGGACATAAGCCTCATTTGCTGAATAAAACTCCTTCTCCTTCGAAAAAATACAGAGAAAATAATCACAAGAGAAGTCATTACAAGCACTTCGTCCCCTTTCATTTTTTATTATGGCGCGCTTTAATTTTGCAATTTGAATCCTCTGAGTTAGTGGCTTAGATTGCCGGTTAAATTTCACAGTGAAAACAGTTGTCACGTTTAACTAGTAAAAGTCGGTTTGTAAACAAATCCTAGAAAGAATGTTCAGCTAGTTCATCGCCCTGGTGAAAACACAACCAAAGAAATGTCATGACAACAGTAGAAAGATTCTGTTACAAAGAGGCATATTTTTCGGCAAGAGGTAGTCAAGAGTACTAAACGGGTGACTCGATTAAGAGTGTAGGCTGAGGGACATTTTGCACCTAGTTCTCTCCCATACGGGGAGGCTCCGCCCGAAAGGGGTACCTTTTTCTGGCTTTGGGTTTATGAAAGGGTAGGGATTTCACTAGTTGAAGTATATGGAAGACTAGGGAAATATGTCATTTTGGTCTGTGAAAGGGCCTAAAAGGAGTAGCAGATGCATTTCATGGGAGTGAAAGAGTCGAGAAAACGTTCTGGTTTGAGGTTTGTTCATACCGTAAAATTCCGAAAATAAGCCACGGGGCATATATTTTGCAAAGGCCCTTTTTGAGGGGCTTATTTATTCGGAGGGACTTATCTACGGGGGGAAATTTGCGTTTCAAATCGATTGGGCTAGCCTTATAGTTGGAAGTAAATTTATCGTTTTTGCTTTGTTTTACTCTGTACTTGAGGGCAATTTTCCAAGTACAAGCCCAGGGGGGCTTATATTTGGAGGGGCGATTCAACGGAGCGTTTTTGCGTTACCGGTTTGGGGGGATTACATTTGGAGGAGCTTATTTTCGGAATTTTACGGTATCTTAGAGAAAGTGCATTTACAGCAGTTAAAAGGGATGCAAAGTTCTAAACTGTATGCATGTGAAAGGGCCACCAACCTTTTCTATCAAAAATGGGATATAAAAGGGTAAGGGGTTGGACCTCGTGGCGGAGCCTCCCCGTATAAAACTTTGTCGAGTGCCCCCCGCCCTCGGGCTTGTGCAACAGTTAAGACCTTGGCTTGAGGTAAAATCGACAAAGACAACGAATTTTGTTTACTTTATAACAGTGACTTGAAAGGAATTAAAGCGGAGCTACATTGGAAATTGTATTTTCTTCAGCAATCGCTTAGGCCTGTTTCAAACGTCGTGCTACTGCCGTGCTAAGCTGGCTCGACTGTAGCTTGACTGCATCACAACACTAGCACGACTTGGTTTCACACGTCGAATTTAATTCGGTCGAATAGAACGACTGATGCCGAAAACAAAACAAAAAAATACAGAAACGGTTTAGCAAACTTTTAAATGTATTCTAATGTATTTATAATAGTTTTGAATTGAGTTCGGCACGGCAGTAGCGCGACGTTTGAAACCAAGTCAAGCTACTGCCGTACATTGGTGATAAAACATCTGTATTTACCAAATCTACAGTACCCATGATTATCTTGCCTAGCCTATAAAAATGCATCCTAATTGTTGGTGGCTAAATGATGGGGAACACTAAGAAAAACATTGATACTATACGATTAGCATTATAATTACAGATAAATACAGACGCCACAGTGCCTCCACCAAACTGTCAAGAAGAGATGAAGAATAACTGGTTCACGTGCAGTTTCTAACTAAGAACTATTTTCTACTACTTGGTAGAGAGGTCTTTGGAAAGTTGTTGAGGTTGTGTAGGTTTAAATAGCTAAGGTACAGACTTATATTTATCACATTCCGCCACGGAATAAATTTGAACGCTTTTAACTGAAGCTCTCTAGAACACGGATTATGGATAGCCTAGGTAGCTGGCGATGTTGTTCGAAAGTGCGCGCGTATGGGCGGCAAATCCTCGGGGGGAATGGGGCAAGACGAACCCGCGCTCGTTCGCGTGTGCGCCTCCAAACAAAACCGCAAGCTACGCAGGCTACATTATAGACCGTAGTCAAACGACTTGCGCGTTGAGTTCTTCTGGAGAACGAAACGGAAAAAAAAGCCTAATAAATTGCTGGGGGTAACCGAGCAATCGGCTAAATGAACATAATTTTTTGATATGTTACATGCAAAAACACTATATACAGTTATAAAACCTCAGGATAAAAACCCTGAGATATAGCCACTTAAGGCACCTGATACTAAGTGCAAAGTACTGAGCACATGCGCCGCCTCTTAATTCCTCGACCCTTCTTAACAGTTTAGCAGAGGCCCTGATGAATCGTCACCACCTACACAACATTTCGGTATAGTTGGATCTTGTCATAGATCCACCGAAATGTTCATCACCTCTCCACGTTACGGTGTAGTCTTTTGAAACTGGGTTGAGTGAATTTCTGAGCAAACACAGACACACGCGTTTACTTGTAAAAAGAGACAGACGTTCTACGCGCTGTTGGAATTGTTCAAGAGGACGTTTGTTGTAGCCTTGGAAAAAGTTCTTGTTTGACTAAACTCTTGACGATTCCAGCACAGAGGATTGGCAATTCGGTATTGCTCAGTGCTGATCTGGCAATGTAATTTAAACGTGCAGTCGCTAAAACGTAAAAGTACGTACTACTTATGTGACACTTCATATAGCAATTAGTATTAATGTAAAGGCGAAGACCCCTTGAGACATGACTGGGTAACATTATAAAAAGTGTAATACTATAGAAAAAAATATTTTTGGTTTTTAGTTACTTGTTACCCAAACGTTTCAAAAATCAGAATAGAAACACCCAGGGGAGTAGGTGCAAGCAATCCATGGGTGAGAGGTCGTGCTCACGGCTCTTGCGAAAGCGGTAGAAGATACCGGGGAAAATCGACTTCAAATCCAACATCTTCAACCACACAGTCACGCCTTCTCTAAAGCATAAGGTAGGCTTAAGAATCTGAATGTAAAAAATAAGCAGCTTCCAAAATGGAGAGCTGATTGTTAGGGAGTTCTAGTTCCTGCTACTAATTCTTTACGGCCCCGGAACCAAACCCCGCATGGTACGAAATAACACAGTGTAACGCGTTTTGAAAAAGAAAACAAAGGCAAACATCAAGAGTGACGCAAACAAGAAGCTTCTCAAGGCTACAACATAACGCGGCTCTTACGGAGTTTCTCCCTTAGCATAGCATTGCGCGGGAGGTAAGTCGTACAGTCCAAACAGACTAAGATTGAACTCAAGGAGGCGAGTAGACTACGGACCCTTACCCTTATTAGAGTCCGCGTCGTTCATTGAGCAGTAGTCGACCCTTGTGAAATTTATTCCTTGTCATTTCGTAGCCACCACCGAATGGCGCATCTTCAGCGGGCAAACGAAGGGCCGGCATTGCTGCGTGACGTAACAAAGCTCCTGCTCGCCCGCGACCAGGTAAGACAGCTGTCTCTCTTAATAACGCACTGGCGCGATGTGGGGAGACTCGATCGGCTCCAGGGGCATTTGCGAGCCCAGGGTCCATAGCTAAGACGCCATTGGTTGCTGGCCCTATCTCTGTTTGCAAACGGGATTGTTGCTTCCTGGCATTCGTCATGGCAGATGGTCGCGGCGGGCTTCCTGGCCCTTCAGACTCTGAACTGCTTAGCGGTGGAAAGTCGTACTCAGTGAAGAGTGTCTGTGGAGGAAGAGGTGGGACCGTAACTGGGTTAGACTTGACACTCGGCCGAGCTGCCACGGCTTCTTCGAGATCTTGTGCAAGTGGCTTCATCGTGAAGCCATTCCCCTCTGTACTTGTATTGCTTGCTTCTGAATCACTTCCACTGGCGACATCTTGCAACGACTGTCGCAGCCTAGACACAGCGCTGGGAGCTGGGCCGAGTTTTCTCTCTTTAACCCGTCCTTTCTTGTTCTCGTACTTATCTGCGAATTCTTGTCCCTCGTTCCAGGCCTCTCGATTAGCCAGTACGTCCTCTGGGACTCCATTAATCGTGTCCTCGTTGAAGTCTCCGTCGTATTGTCTTGCGCGCTGACGGTAGCTAAACTGGTTCAGTGAATGGAATTTTGAAGGAAGCAACTGACCTTTCATCTGGTAAGAAAAATAAACGACATAACAAGAAATTATGAAAGTGAGCATGATATTCGCAGTAGAATTAACAACCTAAGGGGTTGAAAAAGAACCGGAAAAAATTGAGGCTTGACCGGGAATCGAACCATGACCTTTGCGATTGACCGCACGAAACCGCTTAGGTTGTTCATTCTACTGCGAAGATCATGTTCACTTTCATATCTTTATCCGCAGTTCAAATTGCGATTTATTTCATATATTTCCATTCATAAACATAAATTCTACTTTTTTCCTTCATAGCTGCATTCCACGCAGAAATGTTCTAAAAAGATGAGTAACAAATCAATCCAAAGCGGTGACGAGTGTGAAGAACTGTTTGAGGGATCAAAACAACTTGACCAAGTTGTTGGGTTGGATTCTGACAGAGGCCATTATTTCGATATGCCTTGTGACAGTGATCAAAGTGTCTGGATAACATACACATGCAGTCAGTCGAAGAGATAACTAAAAGTAGCCAAGAAGTAAAAGATCTTCTCTCCCCTAAATTCGCTTTTACGGTAAACGGTAAAAGTCACATTAAAGTCCACAAATTCTCAAATATAATAAGGAAGTGAGAAAATAAAATTGTCTAAAATAATTCTTACCGATGAACCGGGCATGAAAGTACTTATTTTCTGTGTAGCTATAATGAACAGTAAACGAGAAGTACATGTGGTACAGACTGACGTTTCCCGTAAACGTGTACTTTTTATCGTTAATCTTCGATCAGTTAATTGCCAATAGCATGGGTTAATTGTGGCAGTGGGTTGCCATAATTAGCTAGGCAGTAGATGGTGACAATAACTTTTAACAGTGGCCTTAAACATGGGCAAAATCGGAACGTTAATATAGTGAATGTAGTGAACGCGTCAACAACAGCGGGAAAAAGGTTGTACAGTGCAGGAGCGTAGAGTCCATATACGCACATTCGCCCATGCGTACAGCTGTTATCTGGAATTTTTTTTTTAATTACCTGAAAGCATTTTTATCATTTTAAAAATTCGGATGACTGATAAATGTTTCGCATTATATTGGTGTCTAGTATTTCCTTTATACTTTCACTATTTCATATTCTGATGGCATCACTGGCCTTTTTTCCTGTTGACATACTACCTTACCGATGACATTAGAGATAGAGGGTAAAATAACCATCACAAAAACCACTAAGCACTGGATTTTCCTTCGTATTTACTTACCTCGATATAACTAGCCTCCGTAGCTAGCGGGTTTTTGGTGTGCTTTTTCATTTGTGGTTCACAGAGTAAGAGTTTCAGCCGCGCGAAAGCTGAACCGAGGTCGAAACATAAAACGATGGGGGAGGGGGGGGGAGAGGAGAAGGGTAGCAGGGTGCAAATAACGCAGTATCCCAGTTATCCCTAGACAAGAAGTCCTTTGACTATTTCACAGCTTCGTACCTTGGGATTGACATCCTTAGCGTCTCTAACCACGCTGAGGTATATGTTGACTCCATACAGAAATTCAGCTAACAAACGCTCCATCTGGGCAAGGCGTAATTCTCGAAGGTACATAACATGCTGGACAAACAAAGATAACAGAAGAAGATAAAAGGACACTTTACCACTTTTTGGGTTTTCCATCCATGGGCAACTCAACGTAAGGAAAATTTGTTAAACCATGACAACCTTAAGAAAGAAAAGATGATTTTTCCGTCCGTGACACAGGCGGCTCAGAAGAGAAAATCGGAAACTACGACCTTCTGGGTACTAGTTTAGATGCTCTACCACTGAGCTACAGGAGACTCGTGGGAAGTAAGGTCACTAAATAAGGTTCTTGTGACAACCAAGACATGTTTTCCCTAGCGGGCTAAGACTGGATATCGATATATCCACAATGCAAGAAATGTGAAAGTGAATTTGACTTTTTGTTTCCCCCGAGCAGCCTGTATCACTGACTGAAAAATCATCTTTATCTAATCATGTACCTCACCAGGCTTAAAATTGACCTTCATATTTCTATCAATAACGACCTCTTCGTACATAGTTTTCTCATACCTTCATGTTTGATATTAACGAGGTGTGATTTCAAGGCGAAAAAAACATGCCCGAGATTAAAGTATCATGGCCTACCCTTGCAGCTGCATCCACCAAAGCTGCTGGAGATGGTCGCTCTGCCCAAACAGACTCTTTCCTCTGCAAAAAAAGTTTAAAAAAGGAAGTCAAAACACCCTGCCGTCAAACTAACACCTGCGGATAAAGCTAACGACCTTTCACATAAGACGCCCAGCCGTGATGAAAAACTTATGGGCAAAAACAGAAACAGAAACCTTTTTATAATAAGCAAGTAAGAGAGAAGAATTCTCGATTTTTTGTGGGCGTTTTAAATAAAACAATTATTCCACTCGCGCTTGTTGGATATGAGATGATTAGAGCCAACTCGGCGCTACTCGTTGGCTATCTATCATTTCATATCCAATGCGCACTGGTGGAATAATAGTTAATTATTCAACTAATTTATTCTTGTTTTTTCATGTCACAATGCTGGCTTTAAGGTGGACAGTGAACACTTGATTTAGACTATGTTACTACTATATACACGTAAGAACGGTGATTTCGACGCGATTTCTCTAACGGAGCACCGATCTCTAAAGTGGAGAGTCACATATCGGAAAGGTGTTCAAACGATACCGGGTCGCTTTTCGTGCCGAAAGCTTTCCGGTATAGCGTGAACAAAGCCTTACTCATATCTCGATAAACAAGACATCACTAGCTACCTGCATGTACTGAAGCCGCACTTTCTGGAAGTTGACTTGATCAGGTGACACATTGAGGTATTCATACAGACACGCTACGATACCATTGACATACCTAGCAAGACAAGTACAGGATAAAAAGGTATTAATAACAGCTTAGTATTGTGTGAATAGAAGTCCAATTCCTTCCAAGCGATTTACAGAATTAACTGAGGAAGGTGTGGCACAGTCGGTGGAGTGCTAGTCTGCGGATCGGGAAGTCGTGGGTTCGAACCAATACACAGGGTCTTAAATAACCAAGGAGGAGGGTACTAGCTTTGTCCTGCAACGGGCTTAAAAACGAATAGGCCACTTCCGGGTTTTTAAAAACTCTCACTTTCAAAATGAGTCCCAGTGCACAACCTTTCTTATGAAAATGAGTTTTATTAGCACGAGAATGAAAAATCATTTCCATATCAAAGGCTGGGCACTTAATCTCGTTTTGAAATAGAGGCCCGGTGGAAACTCCAAAATGGCCTATTAAATGGTGGTTCAGTATTCAATAGGCCCAGATATAAAAAGCGTTTTAAATAGTACCCCATGCGACTGGGTTTCGTAAAGTTCGTCTATGTGTCACGGCAACTTGCCCATTTCTCTGGTTAACTCAAATTAATACGAACTATACATACATGTACATAAAAGATTATGATTCGGTAGTTTCGTTAAGTAAAGGAGAGGGGTCTTGGGCCCTCCTCAAGGATCCAACACTATAAGCAGTCACTTTGGGGGACAAAACATTCAACAGCAGGCGAGTTAACCGGGAGGGGGCGAAGGCAAATTGACATTGGGTTTACCTTTTCAGATTGCACAGTTTGATGCTCAGGCTCAAAAATTAGCTTTATGGCAATCAATCGTTTCACCTGGGAGTCATTTCGCTAACGTCCAGCTCGCTAACTTCCTAAGTCGTTTCGCTAGTGAATTATCGATATTATTTGAATATCCTTTCTCTTTCTAAACTAATTTGGTGAGCAAATAAGAAGCAATGTAAAGTTATGAGTTGTTCTTAAGCCTGTTACATGCCGTGATGACTAGCAGTATCTTTAAGTCTGATAGAGAAAGTCAGCTAGGCCACCCACAACTTAAGACATTAGCGAAACAACCGTTAGTCAGAATTGTGTGAGTGCATACCTCGGCAGTTCACCTCCCTTCTCTTTCTTATAAATCATGACATCTGCTACCTGTATTGGGAAGAAATACAGTAGCAAAAGTAAGAGCTACTGATAATTTGTGAAAGGCTGTCCTACTCTGCACTAGACCAGAGTTGTTCTTGTCTGAGAAAACAGCCGACATTTTGCGACGCCACTACAGATTTCCCCGCGAAATGACGTCTGAGAAACGACCGCAGAAATTCCATACTGATGACGCGTCATTAGCCAGATCTAACTCTAACTCTAAATATTGTTTTGTCGCCAACATCCAGGGGTCTTCACGTTAACTTTAAAACGCTAAAAAATAAAGGATGGTAAGGATTGAAATTCATCTTCCACTTTTGTTGCCAAGCTTCTAATCTATATAGATCATCCTGAAGATCAGCTGCATCTTCATCACAACAGATTGTTCCATATAACAATGCATCATCATCAAAAAGTCTAACGGCAGAGTTAGATCTGGATAGTGCTTCTGATTGGTTGAAGCAAATCGCTCCCAAGCGGCCCAACCAATGGGAAGGGAATTTCTGCGCTCATTCCTCAGACGTCATTTCGGAGGGAAACCAGAGGTGGCGTCAAGAAATGTCGGTTGTTTTCTCAGACTAGAGCTGTTCTATAGGTAAACCGGTCGTTTCGAAACAAACTCAAGCAGTGAAATTGCACAAAAATTTCTTTCCCTTCGAATATAGTATGTGCGTGAAAAAGAAAAACATTTTTGAAACAACTGTGTTGCAAAGAAATATCAAAAGAAAATGAATATGCTGTTTCCTAAGGTAACAATAAATTTTCTAATACGAAAGAAAATAAAATGTACCTGAGTGTCAAACACGTTCACAAGTCGAACACGATATTGATGATACAATGCATCACTGACCTGTCTACAGTCATGAATTACCTACATATAGTAGACAAAAACATAACAATGCTTTGAACATTTGAATCCTTACAGCGAGACAGCAGAAAGCAACCTAAACTGGAGAACCAAGGTTAAGTTTCATGATTTTGCCCATTCTTTGTTACACATGACCTCAAATTTACAAACTGATGGAAGAAATCCCTTTTAAGGGTCAGTGCCACATTTATAAAAACACTGTTGATTTATACCAAGCACTACAAGTTTTTCCTTTGTACAAATTGAGACAAACTTGAAAAAAGCCCAGGCCCTGTCTCTTAAGTTAAACTGGATGCAACCTGTTTTAATCTACTTTTGCATCAGTTTTGCCCATCCATGCTTCTTTATGGCTTTTCTGTATTTTCTTGTGTCCAGTCTGCAGTTCGACGTGTGCTTTACTCTCCCACCAACACTGCCTTAATGTTATACCTTGAGTATATCTCCACTTTCCAGAATGTCTTGTAGTCCTTCATCAAAACAAGGAGCTCCAAGAGTGAGGACATCAAACAAGTAAATTACTCTACTACAACCAATCTGAAAGGACAAAAACAAAATCACTGGTCTCTAAAGGACCCTAGCAACACCTTTCACTAAAAAGGTCACTTCTGTATCACACCAGGATTAGTAGAATCCCCTCTACTAACTAAGATCACACCCAACTTGCTGACATTTTCCAAATAACATTATTTTTAAAATTTTAGCAGGGCTCAAAAAAAAACCCGTCCAGTCATCCTGGACAAGTAGATGTTCTTGTTGAACAAGAACATTTTTAACCTCACTTGTCCGATGGGCAAGGGTCCTGGCATGTCAAATCATTAGCTAAGACAGGCAGGACGTGGCCCAGGGCAAGGAAAGTATGAGAGCTGCTTGCTTAATATTTTAGCATTTTTCTAGTCCTGTTTAGGCACTGTGGTTGCAATTTGGAGGGTAAATAACACTGTGTTTTATGTTAGATGATACTGAATGTTGAAATAACTAATTTCTCAATGTTATAAAATGGAAAAGAAAGAAAGGCAGAAAAATTCAGGCTTGGCAGAATTTGAAACCCGACCTTTGCAATAACTAAACTAATAACGGCACTGCACCGGCATCGTAGAGGAGAGGGTTCAAATCCTGGAAAGCCTGAATTTTTTTCAGGCTACACTATATCTTTTCTCAACTGTGCAAGTTGCGTCTTTAACTGCAATGATCTTCTTTGCACTTATAATTCTGACTGTTATTAGGGGTACATTTTAGGTGGACCTACCACAAGCCAACAAAGCTTTCCAAATCTTCCAAGATTGACACCTTCACAACACACTCCAATCACTCGTTGTTTACTTATGAACTTCACCTGTATGAAGAAAAGTGCTGCAATCAGTTATAATCTACATGTAGGTGATAGACATATTATAGAGTTTATTTTTATTGAACAAAACATAATATTTCAATCATCTTCTTTCCCTTTCCTTCTTTTTAAGCCAACTCTTCCACCACCTCTACTGGTTTAAGCTATTTGACAATGAAAGATATTCTACATTAATTGGTTAAAATCCTCTGCAAAAAGTCAATAAATTACAATTTTGACATTGGCCTGGTAGAATAAGGGATGTTGGAACTACCAAAGAAGGAACAATATCTTTTTAAGGATCATAAGAAAAAATATAAAACTGTCCACTATAAGTGGGTGTCATTACAACTAGCGTACACAGTACTATTGTAATGAGAAATGTTAACTGTTGTTTGACCAAACTGATCATTGGTGGAGTTGAACTGCTTTGAAACAGCCACTTTGGGGATCGAAGTACATGGAACTGACTGCTTTAGCAAGGTGGCCATTATGTGAAGATAGCTAAAGGGTGTAATATTGCACCAATTTTTGGAGAAAAGGGTGGAACATTTCTGAATGCTTGTGAGAACATAATAATAAAAAAACAATCAAAATAGCGTCAATAAAACAACCCATAATGTTCAGAAAAAAAGTTACAAAACAAAACGTCTGAGGCACAGTGAGTACATCAGTTTGTGCTTCATTGATTTAGAAGCATTGGATTGGAATCTTAACAAATTTAAAGAATCTAAATGAATTTCCAATAGCTTTTGTGACAAGGTTTTCTTGCATGAACCTGCCCCCCACCATATAAAGTGGACAAAATGTCCGGCCATCCAAGGATTTGACCAGACAAAGCCTATTTTTGACTGGACATGGTCCATTGACCGGTTGTTATTTCAAGCCCTGAGTAGTGGTTCGGCTGTATTTTAGCGGTTTTATTAACTAACTATATACTAGTGCCATTCTTACTGCTTCTTCAAACTGTCCTCCAAAGGCATCTATAACCACAGTTGATGGTATGTCATCTGGACTTAGATTTTCCTTTTCATCGTCATCTGATATCACATCAGATAGATCTAAAGAGAAAAATGTAAAAAAATTGTCTTTTTGAAAGACATATTAACTTCATATTGTGGGCAGGGAAAGTTTGCTAACAATAACTATGTCTTGCACTCTTATTTTAGACTCTTTCAAAAACTGGTGAAAATGGCATGCAGCTGAGCGAATAAAGGCCATTAAAAAGAAACATGACTCAGCAGATAGCCCATGGGATAAGGCTTTGGAAAAGCCGCCAACATTTCAAGGCAAGGAAATGGATTTACATTCGAACAAAAGTGGCCATCCTTTGAAACTCCTCTTTGTAGTGTTACAGTATATACTTACATTTTTCTGCTTCAATTGGTTGTCTCTTGAGAAGGCTGGCACCCTCGTCACTGACATCTCGTGATAAGGACCCACTAGAAACTGCCATTTTCTTTAGCCCCAGCTTTGTATTAATCCCAATACCAGCATCTTTAAAAGCTTTTCTGATTCCTCGCCCTCTACCTTCCCCAAACTTTACATCTGGCTTGTAAGAAGCTGGCTTTGAAAGATGAGAATTTGAGCTTTCTGGTTTTTTCTCAGGTGCTCTTTCGTCTTTCTTTGTGATATCATTTTTCCCCTCACTAAAAAAGAAGAGTACAAAATTTAAATTTATTACATGTAGTTCTTTGATCTATGGTCCCCATTCCAAACAGCAGAAAGCAGTCTGGAATTTATTGCATTACCTATAGATGGTTTTCACAGAGACGTCATCAAATTGTTAAGTCAAAATAGGGCAGTTTTTACAAATTCTTATTTACACTAGGTTGAAGATAACAAAAAATAAATCTTTGTACAAGTTTCCATTCTCATAGCATGTTTCATTTCAAAAATACAGCAAATTGAACTTCCGAGTTTTCGCAGTGCGTGATGCCAAAATAGGAATGCTGTCTTGTTGAAAAAAAGTCTCTCCTCTTGATTTTCAGCAAGTATGCTAGTTCTCGAGTGAAAAGAAAGAGCTTTTATAGAAAAAGTGAACTCCAGATGTTTCTGTTGATTTCTGGCAGCCATACTGGTGGACCAAAACGGTACACCAATATGGCATCTCCATACAAAGCTCTACAAAGGTGCATGAAATGTTTCGGCAAATCGCCAAATAACTCAGAAACTGTGGGCCACAATTAAGACCTGAGACTTTGAAAAATTGTTTATATATTAGTCTTTCATAATATCTCATTTTCGTGGCTTCTTCCTCTGGACGGTTTCCAATTTGTTTTTTTTTTGGCGTGACAGTGAAAACGATCTATACAAAATTATGCAATTTGAGACTCTCATGTTCCCCTACCCTCTTTGATAGGACTTAGGAGATGATTGCAGCATTTCATCCTTATCTCCTAAATACTTACTAGTCACTATAATTCAAACGGGACCCCGAAGAGTTCACACTGCAAGAAGATCAAGTGCTCATTTAAATCGGGAATTTCAATGAAGTCTCTTGTGTTTGACTTACGACAAAACTTTCAGAAATAAATTTCTAAAGCTGTGCTTTTTGTTTGCTCGGTCACACTTTTGGTCACATTCAGGAACAACCTAGCCTCTAACTTAAAACACTCCCCCCCCCCTGCCCACCCACCCACTTGGTCAAAATTTTCACTGTTGAATTCATGAATAAAACTTATGCAACATCTACATGTAGAAATTTGTTTGCCGCCAGACTTGCCGTCAACTGAAGACTATCTTTCATTTCTGTTAAGTTTTAAAAGTTTTCTTGTACTACCGCTACATGTGCAGGTGACATAACCAGACGTGAGGTGGTCTGGGGTTAATTTAATAATACTCTTACAAGCGTAATTTACAAGTGTAGCGATTTAACTTTCAGACTCTGAAATGATGGTTACACTTGTAAATTACACTTGTAAAAGTTTTTGGTAATAAATTGACCCATGGTTTGTATGTCATGGGTTGTATCTTGTTGGGTCTGGCTGCTCATTTAAGATGGTAATGACCTCTGGTAAGTTTTGAAACAAACAAGCAAACAAATAAAACACATATGACTTTTACTCACTTTGCTTGTTGATTGCAATTAATATCAGGTTGATCCAGTAACTCCACTATCAAACAATAATCAGACAACCAAGAACTAAGGTTAGTTTTTACCACAGTTCATACAAAAAAATGCAACCATTCTTCAAGGACTTTTCAAGGACCACCTACTAGGAGTATTATTATACATTCAACTCACTACCTCTTTTCTGATTGGCCGAAAGAGTACAGTGAATTTTGAAAATCAGCGCCTGGGATGTCATCTAGCTGCAGATTATACAATAATCATGTCAAGGACACTCAACGTCACGGGTGATCAAGTCATGTATGACCACGGTGCATGATTTCTAAGAATAATCATGTCAAGTTTGTGCGCTTTGTGTTGCTTGCCGTCAGTGAAGAAGCAAAAACATGACTTCCAGGTTTGCTTCATTGACCAAGCAAGACATCAAAAAAATAGTTGAAGACAAGGACTCACAAACACAAAAAGGTCTACAGAGGTGGCAAAGGAGCTGTTTGCTGATTATGTTAAAGAGAAAAAACTGAGAGAACCTGAGGAAAAAAAAAGAGTTGGCAGAAACTTTGAAAACATTTTATGTCAAAGCAAGAAAGAAAGCCATTCGTTCAATGTATAATAAAACAGTTATTAGATTCGGTTTTTGTGATATCCAGAATAATCAAGGTCTCGGTAAGGGCTATCAGCCTCAGCCGATAACCCCTTCCTTGACCTTGATTATTCTGAATATAACAAAAACCTCATCCAATTGTTTATAATTTCACAGATAGTTCAAAAATGCATATTCCCAGTGTATTATAATCAGTCTCTAAGGCTTGAACTGTTTGCTTCACCAACTTCTCCACATTTTTCAGTTCACTTGTCTTAAACTGGTAGTTAAATTTTGCATGAAATATTGAACACTTTGTGTCAATAAGTTATGATAAAGCAGTTATGATTTGACATTCTGTCTTGGACAACCAAAAAGCATCAAAACCACTTTCCAGGCCACTACATTCAAAGTGAAGAAAATTCAAGGACTTTTCAAGGACTTGCACAGAAATTTAAGGACTTTTCGAGGAAAAATGGCACTCGAGGACTTTTCAAGACTGTGCAAACCCTGTTTACCTCTTAAGAGTAATTAATGAAGTATATTAATAAAAGGTAGTTGATCTGCCTTCTTTGATTTCCAAGACTTACCATTACTTAGTTCATGTCCAAAGAAATGATGAAAACCATGAAGTCTTCTCCCTGTACTACAGGAAATCACTAAAAACAATCATCAAATTACAGTTATTATTAATTAACATCCACTTTACATTATAATGGAAAGTCTGTGTGTGCAAAGCATACACAGTGGAGCCCCATAGCTATAATGGGATAGAAATTTAAAACTGAAAACCTATCAATGCCAGAAAATCTGGTTATGACGTCGGCGTACACTGTCCATACAAACTGTGACAGTAGGGGTAAAAAACTCAGTAAGATAGGGAAGAGAGTCCCAGACAAGTACATTGTGTTTCATTTTGGCGCAAATTAAACATTTTAGGGGCAACCAATGAGTCGCTTGCGTAAAAATCTAGATTGAAGTTTCTTGTGTTTGTCTTAAAAAATGTCTAAAAATGGTTTAAGTATGGCGTGTGATTTGTCCCAGTTTACATGCTAAATAACATTGTTCATTCTCCCCAAAAAGAAAGTACATATTATAAGATTTGTACATTATTTCACCAACAGACTCGTGACTTTGCTGTAGATTGAGTCTAGCACACATTTAACCATATTTTAAAAATACACAACAAGCAAAGGGCAGTTTGTGTACACTACAAAATTAAGGTTATTCATAAGGAGAAATGAACTAAGTTATCAACTTTCCAAAAATGTAAATAGCTTCAGAATCCTACAACAAAGTCAAAGTCTCTTTGACTCTGAAGATGACTACCGCACAGGTTGTCAAAACATCAGTCAGTGTCAACAACAACAGTCCTATTCAGGACTACGTTCACCCAGACGATCAAACTCTACCTCCTTTTGACATTTGTGAAAGTTGACGCACAAATAATTTGAGGAAGAGTGTCGATGGACTACCTACTATCTGAAAGGGTATTCTGACTTAAATAAGGCTTCATTGCAAGAAACTGAGTAATCAGAAATCTACCTTTGGTGGACAACTTCATACAAATGACTGTATTTCGTCAACCCAAGCCCCACATTGGTGCCTTTTTTCACATTACAAATTGAACTCCCAAATTGGTTTACACACTGGTGCGATTACAGACCAAATTGCACTGGGTCCTTCAGTGATTATAAATTTGATATCCTGGACAGAATAAGTGATATCAATTTCTTTGTTGCCTATTAAAGCTGTACCAAGTAAAGAACAACATCAGCCTTACTGTGTTAACGTATAACTAACAATAAAGCAAGTGTTGTATAATACAAAGATTGTATTGTCTTGGTGGATTTCCTGTTTGTCATATTATTTAAGTCAAAACGAAAAATATATTTCTTAAAAAATGAGGCTTTGCTCCCAATGGATCAGCTGATTACTGCGGGCCACGGTAACGGCACATTTAACACGAAAATATGTGGCCGGGTATTCTGAAGTTGCCTTTGTAAATAACCACTTGTACCAGGGCAAAGTGCTGTTAGTACAGTAGTCGCTAATTGAAAATAAGTTAGAATCAGGCAATGATGTTAAAAATAACCCGCATTTCCGAATGTTTTCTCGTCCAATTTATTTCAATTAAAAACCCGCCAACAGTATAATTATATGTGTAGATATATTAGATAGAAGAAGACCCAGGAACTTTCGCTGGACTTAATAACTTCTAATGCATTGCATTTGTTCTGTGAAACCATCGAAGATGATGATCTACCGCCCGTTTATATAATTGAAAATATAAGCCCCACAATCCTTCTAAACCCTGGATTTTAAGGTTCTTCAAGTAATGTGTGACGTGTTCGAGTTAGAAACGGCAAAGAGTACACAAATCTAAAAACTGGACAATCATACATTTCCGACATATACCCACCAGCGTGATTACCATTACAAATTTTCGTAACAACCGTCTGCGACTCCGAAAACCAACAAGAAGCATATGAGTGCATAAAAATTGAAAGGCCTTCTAACCTTTAGTTAAAGTAAGCTTTCTCTTTTCAGTGTCGATGCTGTGAACAGTTCCCTCGTAGTTTCCTTCGCTTGAAGACACTCTTAACCTCGCACCGACAAAAGAGGACTGCTCAGCCATACCTACAGATTGACATGATGCACACATTGAACAGCCGAGTGGGCGCGCAAGTTTTATTGATGACACAGGATACCCAGACTGATTTCAGTGAGACTACACTCGGCTACACCGCCAGGGCTACACCTCGTACCGCCAAAACTTAAGCGTTCTAAATCCTACACGGAAAGAAACACACAAAGACGAGACTTGAAGACACATAACAAATGCTTCCAAAATTACGAGATCGGATTCAAAGTTTCCGAGACCCACTGTTTTAGACGCCACCTCCTGCTCTTTCTCATCGCAGTTCGAGAATGAAAGAATCGATGAAGGAAATCATACGATACACCATCACTGGTGATAAGGTACTATAGTTGTTTATCTTGTCTTCTTCTTTTTTTTTCACTACGTGGTTTAAATTTCAAATTCAAGACAACGCACCGCGAGTGTTGTCCGCCATTTTGCTATTCCATGTGTACAGGAAGTTTGATGCTCACTTTTACTTCCGGTCACATCAAAGCGAGGCAAAAAGACAAAACAGTAGGTTAATTTTCCCTTGATTTGATCAGCCGGGCGTAGTGGCGCACGCCTGTAATCCAGCTACTTGGAGGCTGGGGTCTCTGAACGGCTTGAGGGTGGGATTCCTGGGGGCGGTTGTCCTATGTAGATCGGGTGTCCGCGCTAAGTTTGGCGTCAATATGGGGAACACGGAGGAATCTGAGTTCTCCAGGTTGGTTAAAGAGGAGCGAACCGGCCCAGGGTGGAAACACAGCAGGCAAAAGCTCCCGCGTCAAACAGTAGTGGGATAGCACCTGTGAATAGGCGATCGTTCACAGCCCGTTCAAGATAGTCGAACTCGACTCTGTTTTTGTATTTTATTTTGTTTTTTTGCTTGTCCAATGCTTTTTTTTAACATATAGCTAACTCAACCATCAGTATAATATATTTATTTCAATAATAAAAATTATGTTCCTTTCCAAAACTATCTTTTTTTATTCATTTTTTTACCGCTCGCAGAAGATTTTTGCATAACTGACTTATTTCATTGCGAGGATGCGTATACACTGACCCCCCCCCCCCAAAAAAAATGATACTTAGGATCATTAAATTTCTGCCGGTTGTTAATTCGTAAATTTGGGGCCTTTTGGTGGATGCACCCAAGAAAGGATATTAGGGGGTGTTTACATGAGAAAACTCGCACCAGCGCGAGTTTTTTTACGGATATGTTTTTTTTATTTCGTATCGCGTTTACATGATGACTGGGTCATTTCATATCTCGCTATTTGAAGGTACACTTCATGTTGATAAAAATTCAAGCGTGATTCAAAATTGCAAACATTGCGCATGCGCTTCTAGTTCCAGTCTACCGGCCGATTTCACACCGAAACGCGTGGTCGTTTCACGTTTACATGATACCGCTGCCCGAGATTTCGTACCGGAGTGAACTTCTCGCCCCGGTACAACAACCGGGGTAGGCCTTTCCCGATTGCGCTCGTAAAATCCGAAAAAAGTGCTGGTAAAAATGGCTAAAAAGTGCTCAAAAAGTGCTCAAAACCTCAAAATAGTGCTCAAAAAGTGCTAAAAGTTGTGAACAGTTACCTCTAAGCTTTTCGTAAACATGTCAGTTTTTACTGAAGTAATTAACAATCTATTTTGCGTACTGTTATTCGACAGGTTGTTACGAAAGGTTGATAGAATATAGAACAATAATATTTTTAAAAAATTAAAGCCGGTTACGAATTGTAAATTAATTCAGCAGTACTAGCATCAGATGATTTAGAAATTTGAGATGACACACGCATGATACATCAGCCAATCAGAAACTTCTGTTCTCACGCTCAGTGAGGATAAGTCCACGTGCCTTTCCATGACAACGGTCTTTTATTCTTAGTTATTCAAATTTATGACCTGGAACACGATTCTCGTTGCAGGCGACACACAGTTTTTCCTTTAAAATGTTTTAGAAGGCATATGTTGCTCGAAATTTGCTCGAAATGTGAAATATTGCTCAAATGTTGCCCAAAGTGCGAAAAAGTGCGTAAGGGTGCTCAAAATGCAAAATAGTGCTCCAAACTCAAAAAAGTGCTCAAAAGGTGCTCAGCGCAATCGGGAAAGGCCTAACCGGGGTGAACTCCCGCCGATGCGACTCTAGCCTGCGAGCAAGCTCTCCTATTTGGGTAAGCGAAGTGAGCCGGCCCCTCGCGGCTTCGCCGCTCGCTCGCGCGTTCTCGCGAGACTCGCTTCACTCGCCCAAATAGGAGAGCTTGCTCGCAGGCTAGTGCGACTCGGGCTGGCATGACATTCTGTGGTGGTATCATGTAAACAAATGCAGAGCCATTAGAGGGAACCGGAGTGATCTCGCTCCGGCGCGAAAGTCACCCCGATGTCATAGTCTCTCATTAGTGTCCAATTGCACTCGTCAGCTGTTTCTGACCATGTCAAAACCACCTAGTCTGCTACACAGCCGTTTTTAGTGTCGTCACGCAACGCTCCTCCCCAGGAGCGTTGCGTGACGACACTAAAAACGGCTGTGTAGCAGACTAAAAACCACCGGGATCATTTTGAAATTTTATCATCGAGCAAAACTGACTAATCCTTGTAAAATAAAAGAAACCTTGTTTATTCAAGAGGTTAAGCCAGTTTTTCGTTAACTTCAGCAGTGAGAAGCTGATGCTCTATTAACTATTTAGCTGCTACTTATCTATATCTCAGTTTCAGACTCATTATCACTTTTGTGTTAATATAGCTGTCAAAACCGTACTGTTATAATAATGCGTACGTTTTGTACATTAATATTTATCACCGCTAGCAGTTACCGCTGTCAGTGTGTTTCGTTTTAGACTAGAAAGGGCCGAAAATCACCTTATTTTCGAGGGGTTTTCTGAGGCTGCGATCCTTTACTTAGCCGGCAAGGATCACGCTCGTTAGCAGTTGCACTAACGAGTGACGCAGGTTCTGCTAGTTCTGGTAGCCTCCCTCACAGACGAACGTTCGTGGGACAGGAGCACGTGCTTAAGTCCTAGGAACTTCTGCGTGGAAGATTCTGGGAACAAGGTAGCCTGTACATAGATGTTGTTTTCCTTTCGACGAGCGCGCGAGAGAGAGAGCGGACCGCGAGAACGAGGGCGGAGTGCGAGAATAAATCTCCCGAGGTTTTTAATTCTATAGGCGCGCTTGACGATCTTTAAAGAGAAAATAGAGGATCTGTGAACAAGCTAGCCGGAACGAGACCATGTATGATAAGCATTTACTCGTTCCCAGAGCGTTTCCCTTTGGAAAAAGAATGGGATTCTTTAGAAAAGCCCTGAGAACGAGGTTGAGCGATAAGGCCCCAAGGGCCCAAGGGTTGAAAATAGGACATAATCATGCACTCTCAAATGGCTCCAATCACCGGGTCCGATCATTCCTAAGGAGAAGCCTTTAGAAACAGACTATATTGTGCCCCAGGACTAACATCAGATAGTTTAAATTTCCAATGCGTTATATACAATAAAAGGTTTTTGGAAACTAGAAAAAACTCCTAATATTCACCTAAAATCACAGTCGAGCGCTGTAAGCTTGGGCAGTGTTTTCACTTTTATCTCGTAAATCAAATAAATTCGGTCTTGTAGTACGTAAGCAACCGTCTGATGTGTTTTAGAGTTCAAAGACGGCGAAGTGTCGTAGAAATATATATTGGGCAAATCTTGCTGTTTGGCTTATTGTAGCCTCATTCTAAGCCCAGTGGGACTTAGCCGACTTCAGTCTTCCATTCAACCTCCACTTCAAACGAAGTTCATGTAGGTCATTGCAGTCAAACTCAGAATGATACGGAGTGAAGCGCCTTTCGCTGAGGTTAGAGTGCTTAACAAGGACGAATCCGAGGAACTTGTTCCCTTAAGTGCCAACGGATTCTTGCAGCGTCTCTTCACAGATGTTGTCAAGGGATTTGCGGCGGGCGAAGGTCCCGAGGAATTATTACAAAGACCCTCCTCACAGCAACTGACATCACATTGCGAAAGCTTGAAGTCTGGAAACATTCCTTGTATTGAAGTCGTTCTGCAGATTAGATTCTTTAGCTGACTGCACTTTGATTGTACTACGCAGTCCAGAATGTGATACGTGAACTGGTCAATATTTATGTGTGACATGTTGACCTTGAACGTAACGCTAGCTTTGTAGCAGGAGTCAGCGTGACCCGCCATATTTGGATCCCGGCAACAGTCTAAACTGTCCGTGGGGTTATTGCAAAGGTTTAAGCCACTCAAATTCCCCTTGCTTAGGGACAGTGCCATGTTAGCGTAGTTGGGCTGACATGTGTAGCAGCTTATGGCAAATACTGCAATAAAAAAGGATGACGTTAATGCTGTCAAACCCCTGGGGTACAGAGACTCCAAACCTCCCTTCTCCCCTACTTTGCATTTCCGGTTCCCGCCTCTTTTTTCTTGGCTTTCTCCCTTTAGGTCTTTTTCGAGTGCAAACATAAGGCATTAAAATTTTCCCTTATTTCTCCCGCTTCCCAACCTTCCTAAACTCACTCCTCTCTCGCCTATCGTACTCCTCCTACCCCGACCCTATTTCCCCGGGTTCCAACCCCACCCCCCTCCCCCGTCCTCTCTCACAAACGTGTGTTTTTAAGCAGTCACTCTCCGATGGCCAACTGATCTGCTAATTTTCTCGAAAAATAAGCACCTTATAAGAATCGATTTAGAGATACTTTTCAAAACAAATATCTTTGCTTTTTTTAATGTAAAAATAAACAGCTAGGTTGAAGTTTGGTGACGAAATCCCTCCTCGTTGAGAAACTAGAAAAGAAATTGCCGACCATTACACAAGACATACATACACATGGCGTGTACCGACTGTGACTCCGGATAAAATCAAAGGCTAAGACAATAACGACAGATGGGATCTCAGAGTACCAAGTCTCCTAAGTAGCCCCTTCAACATAACATAACATAAATTTTATTTTAACTCGAATTTACGGGGTAGCTCTATTGAGATAATATTTCCGAGAAAAAAATGATAACAGTAAAATATGAATAAACGATAAATAAATAAATAATAATAAGGATAAATAAATAAATAATTAAATGAAAACCATTGAAAATTATTAAAAGAATATGCCGTGGAACTTAAAACTCCCTGGTCTTAAAAGCGATAAAACTTGGTTTAACTTTTGACATGTTGGCGTTTGTTTGTTGTTTTTATACAATTTTGTAGCATCAAAGCCTCATTTATGGTCATTTATCCACTTTTTAATGCTTTGAAATGCCATTCAGTTATTTCCTTTTCCTCCTTCTTTGTTGAGATGAACTGGGACGAGGACGAGCCTATGGAGTAGACGCTTTTCTGAGTTCTCCTGAACAAGCCTTCTTTACGATAGGTTTCGCCCAAACAAATGGGTAGAAAGTCTTTCGTCTAAACGCGTTATAACTGTCAGAAACGAAGAGCTGAAGAAAATGGAAAGAGAAATGTAAAAGTAAAAATGCTATTAGCAGGAGAACTTTAATCGCCGTCTGTTGCTAGTTCGAGGTTTTTGGAACCACGCACGGCCAAACTCGTGAACTCCTTCGAGGAGGTAAAGTGTTTCTATGTGTTGTTTCGTGTTGTTATTGTTATCCTTCTGTAACTTATGCGCAATGGGAGCCACTTATCACAAGCTATCGTTTCCATAAACAATCATGATTAGTTAAAGGCAAGCTAATTGTACATAAATGCATATTCCAATCCAAAGGGCTAATTAACAAGTTTCACTCTCTACGGAAACCTCTCCTGTGCTTACTATAAGTTTTAATTATATAATCACCATGGCTCTTTTGTGTAAAGTAGTGTAATTTATTTAAGTATTTATTCAATGTTTTGTTTAGTAATACTTTGTAATGTTTGCAATAAAGTGTTGAAGCTTAAAAAAAAAAAAAAAAAACCCGGCAGGTCGCGATTCCCCCCCGCCCCCCCGGGGGGGCCCCGGGGGCCTTTCCACGTACCCCTCACCCCCCCACACCCCCTTTGATTTTCTTTTTTTTTTTGTTTTTTGGTTTTTTTATGAAAATTAATAATATAATTGTATTATATTTTTATTTGTTAGTGAATGACTGACAGTGAACTCACACGTATTATTTTTGATTTTATTAAAGATTTTTTGTAATAAAAAATGTTTTAATTTTTGAAAAAGATTTGAGAAAAAAAAAAAAAAAAAAAAAAAAAACCTGGGTTTTGAATTGTTAAAGGGGGGCCGGGGGGGGCCCGGGGGGGCTCCGCCCACCCCCCCCCCCCCCCCCCACAGGCCACAGAGGTGCACTTGTTTGTTGATCAACCGATTTTTTAAGTGAATTCATAGTATTGCTCTATTCTAATTGACAGATTGTGAGGTAAAATTGAAAATACTTTGAAAGAGTTGACAAGCCTGACTTAATATGCACGCTTTCCAGAAAACGTATTTTAGCCTTGGTTAAGTATATAAAAGGGGATTTAGTATGGCTTCAAGACATTTACCCCTTGCTAATATTAATACGTCGCTTGCTCTTTCACTTCGTCCTTAACGGGTAACTTAAGTAACTTAAGCTACCCTACTCTTGTAATACAAAAAATTGCACCGTCACTCGGAGAAGAGTGTTGCATCATTCAACTCCAAGCTTTTTCATGTAAATAAGAATGATGTGAGTCGCGAGTCTTAGGAATGTTCCTCCTTTTGTGGTTATCGGGACAGTTGCTAGCTCGGGAGCAAAATCACTTTTTAAAACCTTGCTTTGTCACCTTCATCAGGACTGCAAACGACCGCCGGCACAAAATAGCACAATTTTAGGAGTGAACCGTTTTAGTGCTTACCTGGCATTTGTTCAGTCAGATATCACCAGACAGAACGCTGTGAAAAACAAATTAACCGGTAAAGATATCGATGATCATAACTGATGACTGAAGGCCTCCTGCTGAGATTTACGAAAACAGTTTTACTTCACCGGATCAGAATGCGAGCCTGTCAATCTCAATTTGTGATTGCAATTGGCAGAATGGCAGGGAATGGGTACATTGCGTGTTCCAATGCATGCTTCCATAAAATCCAGCAATCGGTGAGGATTTTTTTAAAATAAAATCAGAATAACTTTTCGAATAACAATCTAAGTTTCTTAAAATTTACTCTAAGAAGCGAACCAAGTCAAAAGTTCTTTTTGCCATTACAGTTCAAGTGTGGACTTCTTGTTCCGATTTATCCTTTAATATCGCGCATCGTTATAGTGTATTGTGCAAGCATTACGCGTTTCAAACAGAAACTATTTATAGTAATTTTTCTTAGAGAAGTAAGAGGTAAGAAATAAAGTCTTTCGTTATTAGATTAAACAGTTTTTAACTTGTTATGAAAACTGACAATCGTATACGAATATGAATAGCTTGTAAAAGAGTTTAATCCGTTTAGTCTAAAATCGGGAAATAACTGATTCTTGTGCTACTTTGAATTCAGGCTATGTATTTTATCAAAGATGGTCCACATTTCCCTTAGTAGAAAACTAAAGGTGTTTGATACTAGTCTAAAATGAGAAAATACTTAAAACTAGGAAACTACGACGTACTGCACAGTGAGTAAAGAAACACATACCCTGGGAACAGAGTCTCCTTCGATCTTCCTAGATAAATCGACCTCTTCGCTTCCTCTTTCCTGACTTATCTAGGAAAGATCGAAGCGACTCTGCTAGCAGGGTAAGAAACACACACACGCTACTCTAGATCCCCAATTTTTTTTTTACTTTCCGAAAAAAATTTAGCTCACAGGTTCTTAATTACTAGCATCCTCATTACAGTACAAGAATTTGACTTCACTTCACCGTAGAGGGGCAAACATATTTGGGTCTTTTTGACCTTCGACTGCATGACCTGTGTTTATATCTGTGCCTAGGCAACATGATTGTAAACGTTGCATCTTGTTTTACAAAATAGTCTCATCAATACAAAATGATTTAAAAGCTTGATGTCATTGCAAGCCTCGCTTACACCTGATTCAAGATTTTTGCCTTGACAGTCCGAAATTCACCTTGTTCGTATAAACTTAAGATGCATGTTCTGAGTAAAATTTTGGAAAATATTCTTTCCTTTTCTCTCTAAAGGGTAAAAGGTATTCTTCCATTTTTTTCTCTGAGAACGTTGACGAGATTGTGAATAGCTATAGTTATAGTTACGTTGGGCTGAATATTATAAAACGATCCAATCCGCTCACAACTTGCAGTGAGGAGCACTTGTAATATGTATTCTAGTAAATCTGATGTTTCACAGATGACGATTTCCCTGTCTTGAAACACCAGTATGGTCGCCGTAACGTCATGTGAAAACGCTCTATAAGCCATTTAATTGCACGATGGCATCATTTTACTACTTCTGTGCAATTACAGGTTAAGGCCGCTAAAAAATTAACCAGTTTACCGCGACGTCGTTGCAACTTATTTTTTCTAATTATTCAAAACGCCACGATTTCTGCTTCTTTGAGGCATTTCGGTTTTTAATGAATTCGACTTGTGCTATGAGTATTTTGTTATCTTGGGGATGTTAGTCCTCTAAGCCAGACAGCCAGTAAAAGCTAAAAAAACAAAGGGTGGATTTATTTACAGTGCGCACATGAAGCCGTCGTTTAAAACATCAAACAAATCTAAAGGGCAAAGGCCCATGCTGGAAATAAATTCATCCCAAATAAGACGAAGCGAATTAACAAAATACCTAATCGATTACATGCGCGTTTTTTTTTTTGATACATTTTCTAGCACACCTACAGCAGCATCGTCAAATGACCAAATTCAGAAGTTTTTTTTTTCCCTGAAGAACGTGGGCGTCCGATGGTTTACTGAAACAATTCTCTTCTCGCAAGAGCTTTTCAGCCTTGTCTATGAATTGCATTACCTCCCCCCCCCCACCCCCCAAATTATATTTCTCAGGTGCATTGTGACAAAGGAAGCACTGACGAAGAGATCTCGCTTTAGATTTCTTCTTGTGGCCGATTTATTTTGTCATCAAGTTTCAAGTTGTTTCTAGACTGGGACTTTAAGGCTGACATGCTTCCGTGTTACATCCCTGCTAACACCGCATTTTCATAAGTCAACCGGCCCTCTATTTCAATTCTATATGCTGGGTCAATATACCTCTCTTATATTGAGCTTAAGGTAGCCGGTAAGTTTAATTATAGAAGTTTGTTTTTAAAATGGAATTGCAACATTGGTTTCCGCGATATTAAAGTTACCTCACGCTTGCCAGCTTTTTACGTTCGCTGGCATCCGACAAATAAACTACCGCCGGATGTCGTAAATGACACTCATCATGACAAATTATTTGCATGTAAACTCAAATCAGGTGGTTAAAAAAGCGCTTGGGAAAGCAAAAGCATTCATGAAAACTGTACTTTTAAGACCAGAATGATGTCGATGAAGATCAGTGAAGGTGAACCCCATTTGAGGGCCCACTATGTTTGATTATTGGAGCTACAGAAATGTTATCAGGTCTCGGATCTTTCTAGTTAAATTAATACAATAAATAAATATTAAAAATATAAATATGTATTCAACTCATCCTTGGTAGAGAGCATATAAGGTAGTGGCGCCGTGACAATGTCAGAAATTTCGAAAAAAAACAGAAATTGATCTCTTACCTCCTTCAATTCCAGTGACTACCACGACGATAGTTACGAGGAAGTTCATCTCGCACCCAAAGATTGTCTACTACTAGAAAAGTGATCAAGCTAGGTGCCGATATTATGATAATTGTCAAGAAGATAACCTACATTTAGCTGTTTTTTCCCTAATTAACGCGCTTAGCAACTTTGCGCACAAGTGATTGGACTGTTTTGACATTTCTGGCTTCGTCTAAGCCAATCAGGTGGCCCGTGCGCGAGCAGCAATACATGAAAATGCGCATTACTCTCAGTTTCTAGCCACAAATATGGGTAAATTCATTTCCAGCATACGCTTATAACAGTTACATTTGCCCTCTGGAATTTGTCAATATTTCTGAGGTTATAAACAATAAAAAGTTTCAACGGCAAACCGTATTTACTCGGTTAAGCCCCGCGGCCTTAATAAAATTATCACCCTTAATGTTCAGCGTTTCCGATGCGGCATTTATTTGGAAGTCACATTTCTTAAAGCATTGAGGACAGTTACGGGAAATCATTCGTAAATATTATTCTCGGTAGAATTGTAAATGTCTGGATTGCGAAAGATGACCAAGCCTTATACCGTATCTTTCCTATAATCCTCGAAAAAGACCTCGCGTTCATCTAATTGGGTGAAGCGTTTTTTTCTGGGGGGGTCGATTACTGGAAATTTTGCTTGTATATATCTGCGGCTTTTAATAGAAGGGGGTTGAATCGATTAAATACGGTTGCTACAAGGGAATCTGCTCATAGTTTAAATACATGTATGAAACGATGAATACATGAATTACATCAGTATATTTGAACCATGGAATGAAGAAATAGGTGCAAAGAATATCGGCTCGCGCAGCACGTTGGAAGGGGTGGGAAAGGGGGTCTATGTGCTCGCTCAACTGGAATCTAGCCTGTGTACAGGCTAGACCCCCCTCCCCTCAGTAAAAATCGGATTCGATTTTTACTGAGGGGAAGGGGGGGGGTCTGTACACAGGCTACTGGAATCCGGAAATCAAAGCGTGGAATCAAGAATCCATCACTGTTTTCATTACCATAATGTTTCTTTAACGCACAACCCTAAGCGCGATCCCTGTTGAAACTCTGATTTCTTTAATTCCTGCCCTGTAAATAAGAAATCTGCCATTTTCAACCTAACTAATTTAGAAGGCTAGTATCAACTTTTCTTTCATAATTGGATCTCTCCAAGCGAAATAAGAAGTAAATAAGAGATGACTGCAAAATTTCAAAACGAAAGAAGAACTTGGCGTTGTCCACGTTCTGCCGGGAGACATTTCAGCAACTGCCTCGTACCCAGACGTCTCTCTCTCTCTCTCTCTCGATGAAAATGTGCGCGCAAAGGAAGACGGGAAGGAGACAACGAGCGAGACTTCGCCTTCCCATGGTCCCTTGCGGTTCATCACCAGTCGCTCGCCTCTACCTTGCGAAAAACGAAGCGCCTGAGGAGGAGGCTGTTTCAGCAAGCCATCTTAGGGAAGCAAAGCGGCAGGTACAAAACGCAGGTCACAGGTCACCAATGCAGGTTAGAGTCCAGGTCACTGTGCTACGGTAAATAAACAACATTAAAAGTGTCTCTAACTTTAATCACAATCCGAAACAGAAACTGCTTTTGTCAGGTATCTACCAATGGAGCAGTGATCTGCACAAGTGAACTGTGACTTGTGACCTGTGTTTTGTATACTGGAAATCAGTCAGCCTCTTCCGATGGCAGTTCGCTCAGACTAAGTCGATTCGCCCGATGTGTTGTTTGAGCCTGAGAAAGAAATAAGCATAAAAAGACAGTGACTGCACATGTGGAATCCAAGGTTTACTAAATTAATATCTCGGAGAAGTAGTTTCACCATGTTGTAGAGTGTTGTATGTGATCGGGCAAATAGACTTAAGTCCTGAGCGAACGCCTTCGGACGAAACGACCGCAATTCAATAAGAAGTGTTGAAGACATGCTAGAGGATATAATAGTGGAACTGATTTCTTTAACTTTTTGTGTTTTAGTATAAAAACTTTGCCAAACCCGAAGGATTTTTGTACGTGACACAAAACCAGCCCGACTTATACCACATTTTAAGATCACGGCTGGTTACAGAAGTTCCAGTTCGTCAACATCACAATCAAGTCCGTAGTCGTCTCAACAACAGAGCGAAGAAAATCATGCGAAAGGAGCAGTTTTATGTTAATTATAATGGAGCATTTAGCATAACAGGGGCACATTTTGAGTGTGTGATATAGTTCTCGCATAATAACAGTCTTTTGCGTCAGTAAGATGCCTTTGTTTGTTTGGCGATAAATTGTTAATGAGTTCAAGAGGCGTTTTATCGGTGTCGGTTTTTGTTACCACCACGATAATATTGGTTTCTGTTCCGGCAATGATTTTCAAAAGGTGTTTATATCCATTGTAAATTGGCTATTATCACTGAGCAATCAGATGTTGTGAGTCAAAATAATTTTTGTGTGACCTTGCGATAAAAGGGACTTTTCTGAACAAGCAATTTTTATCAAGAAGTTTTGAAAGTTTATACTTTTACTTTCCCAGTACGTTTTCGTTTATAAGAGTTGGTGAATACGGCAATCATCAAGTTTGAAGTCTATTCATTCTGACTAGCTAGTTTTGTCATCAATTTGTCAAGTCTTAATCGATTCTGCTAACTTTTCTTCTTGATTGCGTCACTGATGTCACGTTCAAACTTGATATTTTTATTATAGAGCGTATTCATCACTTTAGTCGTGACCAGCGGGTGAAAAACAGGCTATTGTAGTCTTCGCATATTCATTAGTTTTGTCAAACTGATGGCGGTGATCAACACCCCTGAGCAATCAAATGGTAGGAGTCAAAACGGTTCCTGTGCTAGCAATTCTTTAACATTAGTTTTCCTCAACTTTCTTCGCTTTTATTGTCTACCGAGAAGATTAGAAAGTTTGTATTTTCTTTCCCGGTACTTTTAAATTTATTCAGGGCTTGCTTGTGGTAATTCACACGACTAAAGGCCTTTTTCAAAAATACCTTAATACTCTTTGTTTTCCCTCCAAAATTTTGCATTACCATTGTTCTCAAGTTCTCTTGGGGCGAAAGGCCTATTGTCTACTCATTCACTAGCCAGTTTTGTCATCGATTTGTCAAGTTTTAATCAAGTCGGCATTTTTTTTTAGAATGCGTCTAATTCAACCGTTAGTATAATTGTTTATTGATGAACTGAGTACTGTTTTTCTCAACGTATTGTCAAGTCCTATGCTTATCCACTAGTATACTGTTTTCAACCAAGAGCTACGTTATGTAATCGATCGAGTCGGCAAACTTTTCTCTTTGAATGTGACCAACCTATGCTTTGATTGCCTATTGTTGAAGGATAGAATGCGTGCTTTTCTCACGTACAATTTCAAGAAAAGATTTATCAAAAACATTTCTCGTACTGGTTTGAATTTTAATCGAGCGACCGTATAAATGGAGACACCAATTTCAACTTGATTTAACTGTGTTTAGAGCCACAAACTTCCGTACCTTGCATTGCCTGCGGTGTAGTGAAGACCAATCTCAGCCAGGCGATCTCTGGTGGTCTGGAATGAAAGTCAAGATTCTCTTCTGCCTCCTCGAAAACAGCAGGTTTGTTCTTAGGTGAACTTTAACTTTTGGTTACGTTATACTTTACTTTCTCTTCTGAAAAACATCATAAGTCAATTTAAAGAAACGGTGATAAGCGTATGGCCCGCCATGTGTAAAAAAATTCCGAAATCTCGGAATGGTTCCGAAAATTTCCCAATGATTCCGAAAGTTCGGAATGGTTCCCAAAATTCGGGATGGTTTGGATTTGCGAAATAATTACGAAAATGTCGTAATACTTTCGCCTTTCGGAATATTTTCGAAAATCGCTCGTAATGCTGCTGAAACACCTGACTCTGAACATAAAAAGAAGACTGGAAACGACTGTGGAAACACCCACCATCTGCATGGTAAAATGGGGTTGACAGACCTGCGCGGCTCCTGCTGTGTGACCGTTGTGTTGTTATAAGCCTTTACAGTTTTGCTTTAACAAGCATGTCTTTAAGCGACTTTCCTTTTCTATAAGAGATCAAGGGAGGTTCCTTGAATATCTCTCTGAGTAGTGGCTGGTTTTCTATTAAATGCCATTTTTCCATTAGTATGTTTTTCAAACCTGGTAATGACGGTTGAAATTGCGTGACAAAGGGTAAAAGTATTTTTTGCGCTTTCTGTTTTTGTGTCAGAGCTGTCGCTCTATCTGCATATTTAACTTCTGAGAGGATCTTTTCTACCATACTCTCTGGGTAGCCTCTCGAGATAAGGCGTGTTTTAAAGTTTTTA